TAGTAATAGCGTTCGGGATCCTACGTCACTTAGTTTTCAAGGCTATTAATGGCCTCATACCTTCTACCTCAGTAGTCAATCATATAGAAATGAAAAACCTGGAACAAGCTAACTCTCCCACTAACTGCAAGTGGTGGGCGAGAGCATGACTTGAAGCATGATGAACCCAATATCCTTCCTTCAACTTTGTAAAACAAAAAACGGGGAGATGTTGTATCTCACTAGATGTATGGAAATGGTATATCCTGTGACCCCTGCAATGCCAGTGGCCTGGTCCACTTCCCCTCCGGCCAGACCTAGTTGGCTGGGATCCAATTTCTCCCACGCCCCCCTACAGACCCTAGAAAAGCCCTGTACCCTCTGACCTCGCCCTGTTTCCTCTTTCCTCTTTCTCTCTTTCGCCCCTGGACCACCAAGAAATAAACCACAGATTCTCCCCGGGGGGGGAAAGAGCCTCTTTTGTTATCTCTTATTCAAGTCCATGTTTCAGGTCCCAGAGGCTGGATCCTAACTTTTGAGCTAGCTGGGAATTGGGGTACAGCCTCAGCAGGGATCAAAGCAACAGAGAGGCATCTAAGTATGGCAAAAGAAAGACAGAGTTTAGAAGAGAGATTTGATTTGTCTGTATGAAGTGGTACTTGTTTGTGAATCAAGAGTACAAGGAGGTGTGAAATGTGAAGAGATGATCTTCAGAAAACCCTGGAAAAGTTGGAGAGAAGATTAAGTGGTGCTCCAAAGTTTGGACAATTACAGAAGTAGGAAGAGAACTAGGACTGAGCTGGAGTAAAACACGAATTTCAAGATGATTATGGTTTACTGTTGGGAAGGATTACCTTTTTAGTTCTGATGTTTGGCTAGGAAAGCGTCATTAGAGATATTGGAAATTATTTTAAAATGAGTATCAGGTGAAAGCTTCGGTAAGGTCGAACAGGAGGGCAAATTGATTAGCTCAGTTGGTTAGAGCATGGTGTTAATAACACCAAGGTTGCAGGTTTGATGCCTGTATGGACCATTCACTTCAGAGTTGGACTTGATAATCCTTGTGTGTCCTTTCCAACTCAGAATATTCTGTGATCCTAAATTCCAGACAAACTACAAAGCTTTTATACAGTGAGTTTAAAGATCAAACAAATTAATTGCATTTAAAGAAGCAAAGGATATAGATTTAACTGAAGAAACATAAAGCCTGTATATATTTTGAGCAGGAGAAAGGGGTGATGAGGAGTAACAAAACAGATTCAGAAATAGGATTTCTGGAGTTGGATAAGTAAACTAAACTCTTCAGATATGAAAAAAGTTATGTTGTTTTTTTTTAATTAAACATCTTTCAATCCTATTTTCTTTTGGTAGAAATAGGTCAGACTAAAAAATCAAGATAGGTGAAGGTTTAAAGAGTAAATAGAAAAGTTGGATAACGCTTCTAAAAGGTTATAAAGTATATTATTTCATAACTATTAATTCTGCACCTTCTTTTCTTAAACATTGTCATTACCATGATCGAAATCTGAAAAAACTCTGGTTTTTTGTTTATTATATTTCTTAAAATTTAAGGTTTCGTTTTTCAATAATTCTTTTCATTACGAATAACTGTTTGTATTGGTTTACAGAAATTTCAAGACATTGAAGAAACACACCTTCTTCATATGAAAGAGATTATAGAATTATTGTCAAATAGCATAAAAGATATTAATTTGCAAATAGGAGAGGTAATTTTTGTATTATCATTTATTTGGATCATGCTACATATATTTCTTAACTCTTAAATGAAACATTTCTTACTGTGTTTGTGGGAATTACAGGATTACATCTTTCAAATGATTGTAGATTTTAAACCCAGTATGATTAGGAGATAGAAATGATCTACAGAATTCAAAAGACTGTGAAGCAGATATGGTTCTTTTTACCACCGATATCAAACATTATGCAAGTATTGAACTTGTTTATGAGAAGTTTGAAGGAGATTGAAACATCTACTAAATTGCTATTTTGGTCTTTTGTGATGTTTCTATATGTGTATTTTCTTTTGTTATTCAAGCTTCTCTGAATTTTTTTATTAAATGGGTCATCCTCTAATTTTGTTCATTGTATTGCAAATCTTTTTAATATCTAAATTCAACATAACCTGACTCTTTTATTGATTCCTGGTGTAGTTATAAGTTCAGTATTACAAATTTTACAGAATAAGGCGGAATAATTGTTACATTTTGTGTTAACCAAAAAGAATATATATATTGACAATTTTGAATTCTTTTCCCTAGATATTAATTAGCACCCATTTCACACATTTCAGGATACTTGTGCTTTTCTTTAACTAAAACTTGAAATTATATCATTCTGAAAACTTCCAAAATTTTTATATGCTTTGGTTTTTATGAGCAAAAGACTTTCAGTAACAATACTGAAAGCTTTTATAGTGTCTTTTCTCTAGAAGCAAGTTGGTTTAATTAATATTTATAAGTAGTCCTTTGATGTTATGAAATGTCAGTTTATTTGTATATACCTACTTTGAGTCACTGTTTTCCTTGGCTTTGAGGTTTTCTGCAAATGAATGGTAGTTGCAAGGGTCATGTTATTTATTTCTAAAGCATATACATACTGCCTTGCTGGAAAATCTTATTAACCATGTGGTTGTTCCATTGTCAGACTAAAAAACATTACAAGGGTAATGCTTTTACTCAAGCAGGCGGTAATTGTGAGAATACAGTGGTAATAGTTTACACCCTTAAGTGGTGCTGGCTTAAGAGACATTGTAGTGGGACATGTTGCAGACAAATTCAGAAAATTATGGTTTACAAAACTGGTTTAGATAGAAGAAATGGAAGTAAATCTTAAATGCATCATTAAGTTGTATTCTTTCATTCCTCATTTGCATCTGTATCTTAAATACCTTTGATAATACTAAAACAAAGAAGGGATTTCCTTGGTAAAATACCTGTAAATATTTGGAAGCCCTGTAATATATTTTAGAGGCAAGTATTTTGAACTCTAAAGAAAACTACTTTTTAAAGATAATTATATTCTTTCAATTACTGGATTTAAAATTCCTTTTGTGGACTGTGTTGTCTTGTTTTTTGTTGGTTTTTTTTGACAGGTACATGAAGAGTTTATTGATAATATGACAAATACTACTGTTAAGAGTTTAATACAGAAATTTTCTGAGTCAAAAGGAACTGGCAAGGAAAGACCTGGTAAGAGATAAAAAATAACAATGTAGGAAATGTTAATATAAAACCTGTAGATTTCCACTCCTAAGAAAAGGTCAAACCCTATTTGTTAATGTTTTCTAGGGCTAATGTACATAAAATTTCAAATTCTTAGAATTAATTATCTTTGATATTAAATGATTCATGGAACTTTATCAACACAATTTCATAGTCCTATAAATGGTTTCAGTTTGAAGGAACCTCAATCATCATCTAGTTCCAACCCCCTGCTATGGACAGAAACACCTTCCACTAGACCAGGTTGCTCCAAGCCCTATCCTGCCTGGCCTTGAACATTTCCAGGAATGGGGCAGCCACAGCTTCTCTGAGCAACCTGTGTCAGGGTCTCACCACCCTCACAGTAAAGAATTTCTTCCTAATATCTAATCTAAACCTGCCCTCTGGCAGTTTGAAGCCATTCCCCCTTGTCCTGTCACTACAGGCCTTTGTGAAATGTCCCTGTCCAACTCTCTTGTAGTCCCTTTAGGTACTGGAAGGTGATATAAGGTCTCCTCAAAGCCTTCTCTTCTCCTGGCTGAACATCCCCAACTCTCAGTCTGTTTTCATCTTTGTGGCCTCCTCTGGACTTGCTCCAACAGGTCCGTGTTTTTCTTGTGTTGGGGACCCCAGAGCTGGATGCAGTACTCAGGTGGGGTCTCACCAGAGCAGAGGGGCAGAATCCCCTCCCTCGACCTGCTGACCAGGCTGCTTTGAATGAGGCAGCTCAGGTGTCATGAATGAGTGTTTTAAAATCACTTAAAGAATCACCAGCAAAGGTATCAGTAAAAACAGATTTAATATAAAAGCGACAGCACAACAAAGTTCATTGGCAAGGTTCACTCTGCTACTTACTAGATGGTTATGGCATCCCGAGGAAAAGCAACAAACAAAAAATTCAGAGTCAATCAATCCAAACTAAAATAAACTGAAAAATATCTATGTGGAGGGGTGTGTATGTGTGTGTGTGTGTGTGTGTGAGAGAGAGAGACAAAAGGATAGAAAGGGTAAGGATAAAAAGAAATACATCCTAAAGGTCCAATAGCACTTAACAGCATTTAAACTTAACAGTACTTATCTTGACTTATACTTTGAGTTAAACAATTTACCAAAGGATTCATATAGAATTTACTATACCGCAACAGTATGTTACTTGTAGGCCTAATTTACAAATCTAAAGTACTTAAGAATCTTGGAGAGCAGTGTTTCTCCCACATTTGCTATAGCATATGTGCCCTTGCATGCACACAGATATAGAGTCTTGTCCTGGTTTAGGGCAAATTTGGGAGGAAACTTTTGAATGGGATCCTTCTAGGAAACAGATTCAAGCAGTCCCTCCCCCAACTGGTTTGGGGAAAAATATTTTTTCGGAGAGAAGTGGAAAAAACCTGTTTATTTAACAGGCAAAGCACTTTCCAGCACAAAAATGAATAATACTAAACAGCAAAACCTCTCGCCCCTCCAAAGAGATGACAGATTCAGAAGAGTCCCTTCTGTGGGTTGCAGCCTGGCTTCGTCTGTTCTCAGTCCTTCCGGCGCTGGGGAATGCCGTGGCCCAGGCCAGGCCTGGTGGGCCACAGGTGTGAGCTCCCGGTGCTCTTCTGGGTTTTCAGTCCAGAGCAGATTCAAACAATTCTAAGAAAAAGGGAAAAGAAAACAAAATCACACTCCAGGGAACTTCTTTGCCTCAGTCAGAAAAACCAACCAAAAGCAAAAAGAGAGCTTTATCCCACTGTCCACTGCAGACAACACAGTCTGTTTGAAGGATGCGGGTGAGCGAGTGCAGACTCTGATAACAAACTCTGCACTTCTCTCCTCCTTCACTCCGGGAACCAGTCTTAAAGCTGCAGAGCTCAATATTCAACACCAACAGAACAGATGATTTGGGGATACAAGCATCATAAAGTCACCCCAAGACAAGTCTGTACAAGGTACCTGTGAAAAATACCTCTCGAAGGTAGTTAAACACTGACTTCTCAATGGGAGAAGGGTCGAGGGAAGCCTTATCACTCTCTACAACTACCTGAAAGGAGGTTGTAGTCAGGTAGGGGTAGGTCTTTTCTCCCAGGCAACCACTGAGAGAATGAGAGGACACAGTCTTAAGCTGCACCAGGGGAAGTTTAGGTTAGATGTCAGGAAAAAATTCTTCACTGAAAAAGTGATTGGGCACTGGAATCATCTGCCCGGGGAGGTGGTGGAGTCACTGTCCTTGGACGTGTTACAAAAAAAGACCGGACGTGGCACTCAGTGCCATAGTTTAGTTGATGAGAAGTTGTTAGGTCATAAGTTGGACCTGATGATCTCAAAGGTCTTTTCCAACCTAGTTCATTCTGTGATTCTGTGATTCTGTGATTCTGTGATTCTGTGATTCTGTGATTCTGTGATTCTGTGATTCTGTATCAGCCCAGGATTCATCGTTGTTCAGCGATCCTCTGAGTATAGCAAAATTAAGAGTTCACTGGCTCTCAGAGGTCCCACTCAGGCAGGTTGCTGGTTGCAGCTGCTGCAGGCCAGGAGAGCTCAAAAGGTCTTACTTTGGACTGCCATTTATAGGGTTGCAAGAGAGTGGGCTTTGGTCATAACAATGTTTCATCCTGGTCACACTTTAAATCATAAACTTTCTTTGAAAGTGTGAGAACAAAAATATCATTCTACTTGGGTTGTTATTCAGGCAATAAAGTTTCCAAGGCTGTTCATTAAGAAAACCCTAGAAGCTCATTAGCCAGCACTAGTTCCTGGCAGCAGACAGTGTTTCTGATAAGCTC